TTAATTGCGTAGACTCATGTTGAATCCCCCCTCAGATTATTTCTGTTGCCCAAGAGGACAACTTGGCCGGGAAATGGTATAGTGGTCGGTTCGACAGAACAGCAGTGTGTGACCTTCACTTCATGTAGCTACAATCTGCACGTCTCTACGAAAGGCGTTTCCCATGGCGGAGTAACCACACCACTTAGGCCGAATTCTATTAGAATCAGACCAAGAAACGCAATAATGTTTCGCGAAAACGAGGCAATTAAATGAGTTCGATTGATGAAGCACTAAGTTAACAATACCTGTGTATTAAGCTCACAGGGTTGAAACACTTAAACGAGCAAAGGTAATTGGCATGTACCTCATTCGATTAGTTACCTGCTTTCAAATTTATCGATGAACACGCTTGTGTGCCTGGGAAAAGTGGGGCAGTTGTATAAGGTTTCATTGGACAGCGGTAGAAGATCCACATCGTGAAAAGTGACGCAGTGGAAGGGAAACCAATTGACTGCGTGCACGAAGGCTGCGTTCATCAGAACTCCCTTGTTGAAAGGATGACTGTCGAGCTGAAAATTTATCAGCGTGGAAAGCACGGAAGTGAGAGATGTGTTGGGTGGTGCGCAAAACATAGTGTTAGTTACGGAACTCGACTCAGTGGGTTGTTAAAATGCACTTGCTTGTAAGACGAAAGGTGCAAAACTAGCAAAGGCGCAATACAGTGTTGCCACAAGAAATGGCGGTTTGCGCTTTGAGGTCTGGAAGGTATTCCACTGATATTTTGAAGTTTATCATTAGAAGAATAACGGTGACAAGTCTGATCCGTTTCGTTTTAGCGAGGTGAAATGTCGGTGCGTTCAAGCAAGCAACTGGCGGCAAACTAGACATTTCTGTGCTTTTCATCCCGGGGATCAGAAAACAGCATTAGCAATAAAATGAGCTCAATCTGCATAAAAATCATGTAGTAACTAGTTAGTTTTATTGTGTGTGTCGGGCTAAAAAGCATAACTTTACAGGACACACGGGATGGTAAACGCGAAAGAAAGTGAAATGGACAAATTGGGGTATGGAATGCGGATTATCAGTAGTCTAGACATTGCAGTTTATCATACCGTTGAGTAGAGTTTAGCATTTAAATGAAAATCTACTAGCTGTTCAAATGTGGCAGTATTTAGTGTGGTCACAACATGTCCTGGTAACGAAATCCCGGAAAGTAAAAAAACTTTACAATACAAATGGTGTGTTGATTTGCTAGGTTCGCGTCAAAGCCTTGGTACTGTAACAAGTAGGATCAGTATTGATTAACAAGCATACAAGTTTTCTGTTAGGATCTGGTATGTGAGAATGGGATCTCCGTGAAGCCGTCGGGATCTGGGGAGAACCTACCGATTAATCAAAACGCCGTTCATAATTGCAATTACATAGTCCATGTATTGCCATGGTGGCACTTCCTAGTGCTACTGCAAGTGACGAAGGTCCAGTTGCAGCCATGGTCACCAGGTCTGCATCGCATGCTCAACATGGGGAAGAATATACAAGTTAATCAGCAGGCATGATAGCCATCGCACCAAGCTACAGTGAGGTCGCTTCAAAAACCTAAAATTTGTGTTTGCCGCATTTGCTATCCTTGAGTATTGGAGCGAATCGACAATACTTTCTCGAACGACGCCACCTAAATCTCTTTCACCAGTCATGTGTTGTACAACTTGTTGCTGAAGCCGCTGTGCAACGTCAGCGTGTAGATGTTTGCAAGATCCAAGGGAGCTGGTTCATTTCTGCTTATTCTTAAACCCGGTCCAGATCGTTCTGGGACAGGCAAGGTCGTATGTTGCGCGAATATCTCTCCAGATCTTAGCATCATGTGCAAGTATTCGCATTTGGTATTGAACAATTTCCAGATTATTTATGTTGGATAAAAACAGAGGCGGCCCAACTACAGATCCCTGGGATACACCACTGCAGATACACAAAGTTTCTGATTAGGTGTCGACGATTTGTATCTTGATTGTTCTGTCGGATAGATAACGTTCTGACCTGGTGGGCAGGGAACCGTTGATACCAAGCTTCCAGAGGAGAACTGTGTGATTCGCTGCGGAATACTCTAGAAAAGTCTGAGTCGCTCACACCAAGAAGGACTCCTTCGTCCGCGGTCCTGCTCCATGAATCACAAGGAATAAGCATATTGATAAGGCGTGATCATCTGCGTCTGAAACCATGTTAAAGATTGGAACCGATTTGCGGAGTTTCAAAAGGCGGCGTCAATGCGTCAGACATTATCAACTCCAGCACTTTTGATAAAGCAGGAAGGAGAGCCAACAGTTAAAATGTTGGATTTTTGAGTACCTGCCAGGTGTCTTGGATTGCAACGCGCAATCTCAGTTGTGGTCTCGATTGACTTTGAAGGCAGCATCTGCCATTCCGATCACTGGGACCGTCACCGAAGTGGAGGTCTACATTGTTGCTCTCTCTTATCACTGCAGCATCCGATCATTTACCTCCTTTGCAGATCGGAGTGCCAATTGTACATTTTCACTCGAATGCGAGCGTAACGGAATTAAGCATACACTGGAAAATGGCTGTAACCTGTACTGCTATGGTGGGGGCAATGGTAGTGGTGAACCAGTCCATGACAACTCTATCTGCATCTATTTATTTACCTGTTCCTCTGAAGCAGGATACATTGGTCGTACGATTAGATAT